GTAGATGAAAACCCTGCCCTTTTCCAGGGTCAGCTGGTGAAAGCTACCAGGGAGTACACCAGTTTAGACCCTGCCTCTACAGAAGGAGCAACCATCCTTGGTATGTACTTCATTCATCAATCTGCCCCAGATATTCAGAGGAAACTGCAGAAATTGGCAATGAGACCTCAAACATCTCAGGCCCAATTAATGGAGATGGGCTTTGGAGTCTTTAACAATAGAGACCTATCTGCAGCAGAGGACAAAGAATGCAGATTTAGGGCTAAGAACAGAGAACAGCTTCAACTCTTGGCTGCTGTTATTGGCTGGGGAAAAAACCAGCAACTCGGGCAATGGGGAGACCTGCTTTCAATGCCACAAGGAGGGCCACTGGTCCAGGAAGTGCCAATCCAGGGCACCTCCACTAAAGGAAACCCCCAGGACCAAAGCCTCTATGATCATGCCCAAGATGTAACTAGAAGGGACTTTGGAGGAAAGATTGTCCTCCAGGCAGGAAGGGTGGTGGAGCTACCTCTCAGTAACCTGCCTTCCAGTCTTCTCAAGACTCAGAATGATGGGAAAGCCTGGGACTCAGCCTTGCTCCCACCTTCTCCATCTCTCTAACCAAGCCCTGGGCAAAAATTGATGTCACAGGTAAAATTACCTACTTCCTTATTGATATGGGAGCTATGTTCTTGATCTTAACCTAATACTCTGGCCCTCCCTGCCCCTCTACTCGTTGGGTCATGGGCATTGAAGGGAAACTTAAGGGTTGTCAAGAGATATACCCTCTCCCCTGTCTGTTTGAGGATCTGTTATTTAACCACTCCTTCCTTATCCTCTCCTCTTGTTGGGAAGGGACCTAATGGTGAAGTTTGGGAGCCAATTTTCTCTAGTTAAGCCTCCCACCTCCCTTTTGCCTCTGCTTGTCAGACCTCCCCATGTTCCCCCAGAAGTTTAGGAGACAATCGTGTCAGTTGTTTGGGATCAGGGAATTCCTAGGCAAGCTACTCATGCCATCCAGCTGTCATTCACCTTTGAGACCGTAATGTGTTCCCACATCGTTGCCCATATCCAATTAAGCCCAACTGCAACCACTGATTGAAAAACTCTTTAAGTGTGAAATCTTTGTCTTTTGCCAGTCCCCATACAACACTCCTATCCTTCTTGTGAAAAAGCCTTATGGGGAGCATTGCATGGTTCAAGATCTCAGGGCTATTAATGAAGCCGTTATTCCTATCCATCACATAGTCCCTAAACTATACACTATACTCATTCAGATCCCTGGGGGCACCCAATGGTTTTCCATTCTGAATCACTGGTAAAGGTTTTTTTTGGTTTTTTTTAACTGGAAATAAGCTAAGAGAAACCATCCAGCAAGCCTGTTGGGCTTGCCCAACTTGTGCCCAGGTAAATCCTAAAGGAGCAGTCAGACCTCCCCCTCTTTTAAAACCTGTTTAGAGGAGGATTAACTACTCAGGTGAAGACTGGCATATAGACTTTACACATATGCCCTCATGCAGGGATTTCAAATTACTTTTGTTTTTTGTTGACACCTTTGGGTAGAAGTTTCTTGAAGAACTGAAAAGGCTCAGGAGGTGTCAGGTTTCCTATTTAAGGAAATTATACCTCAGTTTGGCTTGCCTAAGTTCCTTACAGAGTGGCAAGGGCCTGGCTTTTACTTCACAGATAACTTAGACTGTGGCAAATACACTTAAAATCACTTATCACCTCCACTCTGCCTGGCATCCAAAGTCCTCTGGTAAAGTAGAGAAAATGAATCATATTCTCAAGCAGGTCCTTACTATGCTGTGCATAGAGACCCGAGAGGATTGGATAAAAAAAAATCTCCCAACTGGACTGCACCTGGGAAAATATCAAGCATAGCAGCCCATCCCCCTTTTCCATTTTCAATGCCACACAGCCCAGAATCTCTACCTTGAAAAGGGCAAAGAAATGTTCTCTAGGGATATGTTTTCTGGTTCCTTAAGAAGGGAGCAGAGTATCTCATGCCTTTGCATGGTCACCTACAACATGAACTATTCTCTCTAACCTTCCAGAGACCATTCATCAATTGGCAAAGAAGACAGCTTATAGTCTCCAGGAAATCCAGCAATCTTTGGATTCCTTAGCAAAAGTAGTCCTAGATAACAGAATAGCCCTAGACTACCTGCTTGCCTCTAGTTGGATCGTATGTGTCCTGGCAAACACCTCTTGTTGCATGTACATCAACAACTCTGGGTAGGTGGAGATGCATACTGAATGTTTTGGAAAAGGCTAGTTGGATGCAAGAAACCATGATAACATTAGTGCCCCCAAATCATCTTCATGGAGATCCTGGCTCCTTTCTCTACTAGTCCCAATATTCCTCTCCTGATAATATTCCTTTTATTCCTGTTTGGCCCTTGTTTGTTTAACCTCTTTGCCAGATTTGTCTTCTCCAGGCTCCAAGCCACCAACTTCCAGATGACTGCTCAGGCTGCATACCAACCTCCAACCGAGTCAAAGGTCTCTAACCCACTGAGCCTTGCATCAGCCAGGTTCTGAAGTCTGACCCTTTGAATGGGACCCAATGAGGCAGGGACAGCTCTAAAACCCTTGCCAGCAGGAAGCAGTTTCAGAAGCTGAAACCTTTGCCTTTTACCCCAAAAGATTTTGGGTCCCATCTACTTGAGGGGGAAATTATGGGATGATGACACCTGGACCCTTAAAAGGAAAAGACCATGTCTTTGAAAGCAGCCCAGTACCTGAATTTTCCCACACCTTTCAGCAGTCCAGATTACTGGATGCCCAAGGCATCCAGCCCAACCCAGCCCACCTAGATATTTGACAGTCCTTTCACAGTGGTTCTTGAACCACCCCAGACCACTTAACTACTTTCACTGAAGCAGATGGAGGCAGTTAAACACTGTGATGCCCGGTTCCCCTCTATATGTGTGCTATATATAATGGGATCAAACAGGTGAGCCTGGCCCTGATCTGCAGGACACTGGGACACATTCAGTGACAGGCAATTTCATTCATAAGCAGAATCTTGCCAAAAAGGGAGTAAACAGGTACTCAATGTACAACATAGATTGGGTGTAGGATAGCTATTTATTTGACTAAAAGTGCCAAGAATAATTAGAGCAAACAGATGAGCCTACCTAATCTTCAGATCAATGGGCCACTTCCAGTGGGCCATGTATATTTTGCTCACACCGAAGAGTTTGGTGCTTTGAGATGATGGTCATCTCTCCTAACCTTATGACAGCTGAGGGTTGGGGCTGCATCAAAGCTAGGTCAGTTTCTGTATGCTGTTTGTTTCTTCCTACTCATGTGGCATGTAACTGTCTCTGTGTCTGACTTTGTCTCTGTCTGTCTCTCTCCTCTTCTTTCCTCTCTCTTGGACTTCCTGTTAGGGGTTAGATGAATAAGAGAATTTACAGCTGATAGTTTCAGTCTACTTGGTAAAGTAGAAGCCAAGATATTCTGCTAAAAGGGGTCCTTGGAAAATGGGGGCTCAAGGAGAGAGGTTTGCGGAGAGTGTGGGGAGTGTGATGAAGAGAATGAAAAAAGATGGCTATGCAGCACTGAGGGCCCTCTTGAGATTAGATTATATGAATTTGTGGTTGCCTCAGTTCTTATAGTTCCATGGCTTCCTCTAGTAGCATTCAGAGACTTGAGACGAGAAGTAAACAAGGTAGATAATGAGGGTGACCCAGGGTTGAGGATTAGCAGGACATGAACAACAGAAGGCCAGAAAGCAAAGGATTCATAGATAGATGATGGTGCTTTATTAAACTTGCAAAGTAAAAGTTTGAGACTGTGAAGGGGAAAAGAGAGACCAGAACAGCAGTGATGGGCATTTAAACCTGAGAATTGGGGGCAGCTAGGTGGGGCAGTGGATAGAGCTCCACCCTTGGAGTCAGGAGGACCTGATTTCAAATCCCTTCTAGCTTTATCATTTAGTGACTCATTCCATATGACTCTTGAGGAAGCTTGAATAATGAAATAAAATCCTCAGAGATTAAATAACCTGGTAATTTGAGCAAAAAAAAATGAATGAGTTATGGATTTTGCCTAAACCTTCTTACCGTTCAAAACTGTTTTCTGCATTTTACGGTGAGTGACTCTGCTGATCAGTTGTCTGATAGCAGCAATTGAAAATTCAAAAGTCTAGAGTTATTACCAATTCAATTAATCTTTGACTGTAATTGGAAGATAGGTAAATTTTTTTTTTCTCAAATAGAATCAGTTTTTTGTTTGCTTGCTGGGGGTTTTGTTTTGTTTTTTGATCTTGGCTTGCATTTTCATCAATATAGGGAACTCTCTGTGAGGAAACTTTTTCTACCTCTACCAATGAAGACTTGTACCATCTCTGAAACGTTCATCTTAAGGAGTTACCTGGGGCAATCATAGAACCAGCATGTGGTGGAGGACAAATTACATCAAGGTATATCTCAGGTAAAAATCTTTCTCTATTGGGATAAGATAAAGAATATATTGCCCCCAAAGGCCATCACAGTGAGAATTCTGGCATTTTATGATGAACATGCTAAGGAACTTAAAACAAGAGTCTTAAAATGATTCAGCATTTATATTTATTCACCATTTGTTGAGTTTGGAAAGAAGACCTGATAAGTACATTTGATTAGGGAGCATGGAGTACTAACAAGGAAGATGGTGTCAGGGAATGTGACTTTGGACACCATCTGGCTTTGTGCTATGAGGAGTCAGAACCATCTAATAGCTGGAAAGTGATTTTGTTGTGAGTAGTTAGTAGACACAGAGTTTGTGTAGGTCATCCTGTAATATCAACACCAGATGATCATCCAAAGTTGAGGTGAGGGACCCCTCTGTGTATTCAGACCACGCCTAGACAATGCTTTTGGTGTTCACCTCAGAAATGTAAAGAGGTTTTCTAAATGGGATGGCCTGGTCACTTTAGAAGAATTTGAATAGAAGAAGCAGGTTATAATATGATGAGAAATGATAGTTCAAGTTCAAACCAGAAAAAGGTGCTTTTTTTCTTCATTGTCATTCACTAGACCTTTCCTAAGACGAATCGGAAAAGACACTTGAAAAGGTCTTATGAAATGAGACACCATTTCCATGTTCCCTTGGTCTCTTTATGATGCTCACTGGTGGTTTATCTGGAAAAAGTATGCCCAGAATTCAAGATGTAAAGGACTAGAGGACATCTCCAAGTCAAGGTAAGATTCCCCTAGAAGGTAATGGGGAATTTTACAGGTATCCATTTGTATTTGAGGGTTTTTTTTGTTTTTTAGATGTAGAAAGAGAAGAGAGAGAAGCAGTGGCCTGGCATCGAGATATTTCCTGGACCTACATTATAGAGGTCACATAAGCTTGACTACTCCTCCTGGACACACTCATTCATCAGAGGCTTGTATCGGTCATCTGGCCAGGATGCTGCAGTAACTGCTTCCTCCTGCCTATGGCGCTGAGGATTTTCTTCCTTGGGCCCAGTTGCATTTGTATGCTCTGGAGATCCTCATCTGAGCAAAGTAAGAGGGCGTCTAGATCTATTTGTTCTCTCATAAGGATAGGGATGAACTCACTCAGGTTCTGAGACATCAAGAACAATTCAATGGGGGTAATATCTGCTTCATCTTCCTCCCATTCCATTTCATTCTCATTCCAAGGCACCTCATCTCCATCCTCTTCTTCTAACTCTGCTTCTGGGTTAGTCTCACCAATGTCCCCTGGTCTTCCTTTCTGGAGTAATCCAGAAACTATATTAAACTCTATTTCTCTTTTGCTGTCTGAGATATCTTCAATTGCTGAACTTTTTTTAAACACAATATTGCCCAGACCAGGACGGTTGAAAATGGACTCTTGCTGCACATCATTGTCCTTATCTTCTGTGAGCTGTATCTTATCTTTGAAACCATTTGTGAATGACTCTTCCTCATCTTCCTGGAACACTTCCATCACATTTTGCTGCCCTCTCCTGCTCTTCTTATCTGTTCCTTTTCCCACCTGTTCATCTGCTGTGTTCCTGTTCTTCTTATACCTTGCCTTGAAGGTATCTTTCAAACCCTTGGAGAATGTTTCAAATACAGTGGGAGTAGAGGAGTTTGAAGAAGATGACCTGGAAAAAGTGCCCTTGGAAGAAGTTAGGGTCCCAGCCTTCTCCTTGTTGAATGTGCGATTCATTTTATTCTGATGTCTATCCTGGAGCTTTTCACAATCTTTAATCTGCTTCTGGGCATTTCTTTGGGCCTGCTCCTTCTGTCTGGCAACCTTTTTGGGGTTCAGGATGCTTTGATCCCTGGCAGCTTTGTCTAGAATGTCAACACATTCACTCTGCTCTCTGCTGGCAGCAGCATCTAGTGGAGACTGTAGGTCATTGTCTAGGGCAAATATATTGGCACCAAAGTTGATCAAGAATGAAACACAGTGAGTGTGTCCATTGGAGGCTGCACAATGGAGGGGAGTGTTTCCCCAAATGTCACATTTATCAGGATCACCCCTAGAATAGAAAGTGTAGGAAAAACATGTTAGTGTCGTCTTCATTCATTCACAGCACCTATTATGTATCAGGAACAGCCCTAAGTACAAGAAGGCAAACAAACAAACAAACAAACCCAAACCTGAAATAGTCCCTGACCTCAAGAAGCCTATGTTCTATTGGTAATAAATAGCATGAACATACAACAGTAGATATAAAATAAATATGAAGTACTTTCTCAGAGGGGAAGGGGCCTAACCAGGAGGGAGATTGCTTGTAAGAGGTGGTACTTGAGTTGAACTTGGAAAGAAACTAGGGAATCTGTGAAGCAGAAAGATGAAGAAGGTACATTTCAGACTTGGGGGCAAATTTTTTTCTCTTTTTTCTTTTTTCTTTTCAACATGTGTTTTTAAAACTTTGGGTTACAAATTTTCTCCCTTCCTCCCTCCCCACCCACCTTCACTGAAAGGCAAGCATCTCAGTACAGGTTATAGATATGTAGTCATGCAAAACACTTCATAGTAGTCCTGTTGTGAAAAACTAAGTATATTTCCCTTCATCCTAACCTACCCCCCATTTATTCTATTCTTTCTTTTGACCCTGTCCCTCCTCAGAAGTGTTTGCTTCTGATTATCCCCTCCCCCAATCTGTGCTCCCCTCTATCATCCCTCTGCTCTCTTGTCCCCTTTCCCCCTTATTTTCCTGTAAGGTAAGATAGATTTCCATATCCCATTGTGTATGTTATTCCCTCCTTTAGCCAAATCCTAAGAGAATAAGATTCACTCATTCCCTCTCACCTTCCCCCATTTCCCCTCCACTGTAAAAGTCTTTTCTTGTCTGTTTCATGTGAGATATCATACCTCATTTTACTTCTCCCTTTCACCCCTTAATTTTATTTTCCAGATATCACCCCTTCATCTTCAACTCGCCCTGTGCCATCTATCTATCTATCTATCTATCTATCTATCTATCTATCTATCTATCTATCTATCTACCTATCTATACATACATATAATTTTTTCCCTCCCACTACCCTAATATTGACAAAGGTCTCATGAGTTACAAATATCATCATTCCCTGCAGGAATGAAAACAGTTCAACCTTAATAAATCTCTTATGATTTCTCTTTCCTGTTTACCTCTTCCATGTTTCACTTGAGTCTTGTATTTGAAGGTCAAATTTTCTATTCAGCTCTGGTCTTTTCCACAGGAATGCTTGAAAGTCTCCTACTTCATTGAATGACCATTTTTTACCCTGAAGGATTATACTCAGTTTTGCTGGGTAGATAATTCTAGGTTGCAGTCCTATCTCCTTTGCCTTCCGGAATATCATACACCATGCCCTCTGGACCCTTAATGTAGAGGCTGCTAAATCTTGTGTTATCCTGATTGTGTTTCCACATTACTTGAATTGTTTCTTTCTGGCTGTTTGTAATATCTTCTCCTTGACCTGGGAATTCTAGAATTTGGCTACAACATTCCTAGGAGTTTTCCTTTGGGGATCTCTTTCAGGAAGTGATTGGTGGATTCTTTCAAGTAATTTCTATTTTGCTCTCTGGTTCTAGAATATCAGGGCAGTTTTCCTTGATAATTTCTTGAAAGATGATGTCTAGGCTCTTTTTTTGATCATGGCTTTCAGAGAGTCCAATAATTTTTAAGTTCTCTCTCCTGGATCTATTTTCCAGGTCAGTTATTTTTCCAATGAGGTATTTCACATTCTCTTCTATTTTTTCATTCCTTTGGATTAGTGTTACAATGCCTTGATTTCTCAAATTGTCACTATCTTCCAATTTCTCCATTCTAATTTTTAAGGAAGTATTTTCTTCAGTAAGCTTTTGGACTTCCTTTTCCATTTTGTCAATTTTGCTTTTTAGGGCATTCTTCTCCTCATTGGTTTTTTGGACCTCTTTTGCCATTTGGGTTAGGCTATTTTTTCAGGTGTTATTTTCTTCAGTATTGTTTTGAGTCTCCTTTAGCATCACTCTCAATTTTTCCTCTACTTCTCTTATTTGTTTCTCAAAATCCTTTTTGAGCTCTTCCATGGCCTGGGACCAATTCATATTTTTCTTGGAGGCTTTGGATGTAGGAGCTTTGGCTTTGTTGTCTTCTTCTGGTTGTATGTTTTGATCTTCTTTGTCACCAAAGTAAGATAATATAGTCTGACTCTTTTTGCACTGATTGCTCATGATCTTGGCCAATTACTTGAGTTATAAACTCTTTGTTAAGTTAGGAGTCTGTATCCAGCATGAAGAATGTACTGTCCCAAGCTTCAGGGGTTTTGTGCAGCTGTTTTCAGAGATACTTCTAGGGACCTGTAAATTTTCAGTTCTTTCAAGGTGCTATGATCAAGGGTGAGGTGTTTACTCGTTTCCTGGTCTGTGCTCTGGTCTATGAGCACTCTTCTTTGTCTTGGAACTGTGAGGAGGATTTCCTCTCCATAGCCACTACAAGCTCCACCATACCAGTAGTCCTTGCCTCAGGACCTCCACCTAGAACTGTGACCCAGATCCAAGCACAAAGGCAAAGCAAGAGAATCCTTCACCAGCAGAGAGATCCCTGCAATCGCCCTCTGATCAGCCACTCAATTCCCCCTCAGTCTGTGGGCCAGAAGCTCAGGAGGCAGCCGCCACTCCAGGGCTGCACTTGGGGAGTGGGGCTGGAACCCCACCATCCTTTTCTCTCAGCATCGCAGAAACAGACTTTTCCTACTGATCTTCTAAGTTGTCTTTGGCGTTCATGGGTTGAGAAGTCTGGAAACTGCCACAGCTGCCTGTGATTTAGTCCTCTGAGGCCTGCTCCAGGTTTGCTGTGGCCTGCGCGCCCATGCTGAACTGCTCTCCTCTCTCCGTCTGGCACGATATCAACCAACTGATCAACCATCCAGGCTGTCTTTGGCTGGAAATTTGTTTCACTTTGTCTTTTTGTGGGTTCTGCTGCTTTAGAATTTGTTTAGAGCCATTTTTTATAGGTATTTGGCGGGGTTTGGGGGAGAGCTCAAGCAAGTCACTGCTTTTACTCATCCATCTTGGCTCTGCCTCTGGGGGCAAATTTTTGTGCAAAGAACTGAGGTGGGAGATAGAATGTCATGTGCTGTGGTTAGAACTTAAGAGTGTGTAAATGAGAGTATTGCACTAAACCTGAAAAGGAAGCCTGAAGACAGATCATCTTTTAAAGCCCTTAAGAGAGAAATTTTATTTCGTTCTAGAGTCAAGAGGGAGCAACTGGAGTTTCTTGAATAGGAGAGCAATGTAATCAGAACTGTGTTTTAGGAATATCAGTTTGGTGTCCACATGGAAGATAGATTAGAAAGAAGGAAAGACTGGAGGTTGAGAGACCACTTAGGCTATTGAAATAAGGTAGGCAAGAGGTGATAAGGACCTAAACTAGGTTGATGGCCCCAGAAGAGGTGAAAAAGTGATGGACAAGAGAGATTTAATGGAGATAGCATTGACGAGACTTGGTAACTGGTTAAATATGAGAGTTGAGGAAGAGGGAAAAGTCCAGGATGGATGATTTTAGAATTGGAACCAGGATGGCTAGATGGATAGTGCTATCATCAACAGAAATAGTGAAGTTAGGAAAGGGCAAGAGTTAGGGGAAAACGAAAATGAGTTCTATTTTAGATGTGTGGAAGTTGAGGTACTTATGGGACATCTAGTTCAAAATATCCAACAAACAGCTGGTGAAGTAAGACAAGGGTTCAAGAGTGAGATTAGGGCAGGATAGAATTGATCTGAAAGTTGTTCGCATAGAGGTGATGGCTGAATACAGGGGAATCAATGATATTCTTGACAGAAATTGTAGAGACAGAAGAGAAGAGGGCCCTGGGGTTCAGCCATGCAAGGGAGATGGGACATTAATGATAACCCAGCAAAGAAGACTGAGAAGGAGTAGCCATGTAGGAAGGGGAAAAAATAGGAGAAAGCAGTCTTTAAAACCTAAGGACGAAAGAGTGGTTAATATTATTAAAACTGGGAGGTCAAAAAGGATGAGGACTGAAAAATGGTCATTAGATATGACAATTAATAAATCATTGGAGAAAACCTTGGAGAAAATAGTTTAACTTGAGTGATGAAATCAGAAATGAGATATTTATTGCAATGTGGTTGAAAAGTGAGTGTGAAGTGAGAAAATGGAGGTAATCTGAGTAAACAGCTTTTTCTAATAATTTAGCCAAGAAGGAAGGAGACATAGGATGGTAGTTTGAAGGTACAGTAAGATCAAATGAAGCCTTTTTTTAAAGTTGGGGGAGATCTGGGCATGTTTGTAAGCAGTAGGAAAGGAGTCACTGGATGAAGGAGAAGTTGAAAACTAGAGAGAAAGTGGTTAATGAAGGGATATGCTTCCAGAAGAAACTGAAGGGAATGGAATCAGGAGTATGAGTAGAGGGAGTGGCATTGTCTAGGAGAAGGGCCAACTCTTCTCTTCAGAATGGAGCAAAGGAAAAAAAAACTGGGTGATTTGAAGTGCAGACCTATGGAGAAGAGAAGCTAAATTATGGTGGATAGCCCCAATTTTGTCAGTGTTGCTCAGGAAAATAGACAATCATGAAATTAGGCTTATAGGTGTCATCAATGATGGGACTGGAAGGCCTTGGGCATTCCTGAACTTATCCCTAAATGTCATCTTTCTAATACAAAGGTCAACACAGAATAGGTAGAAATAGAGCCAGGAGAATTTGGTAGGAAAAGAATAAACATCGGGGTGACTCAAAAGAAGGACAAAAATAAGTGGAAAGGGCACAGCTTGTCATGGCCTTATAAATGAATGATAAAAAAAGCATTTCTTAATCACTTATTATGTGTCAGGAAAAAGACTGGCAGGACTCCTAAAGCTTAGAATAAGCTGAATTTGCTGAAAAAAGGTAAAGTCAATCAAAAGGGATTGAATATTGGGAGGGGAAAAGCTATATTAAGGAAGAAAAAAGAGGATGATAGAAGGGATAGGCCTGTTGCTTGAAATGGATGATAAGAAAGAGAAAGTAGAGCTGCTCATTTCTCGTTGTGCTGGTTTTCTTTGCC